GGCAGGAGGGAGGGATCCCAGGGCTCCTGTCCCCAGCGCAGCCTTTCAGTTTGCTCTTTTGTTTTTTTTAATAACCGCTTTATGGAGATAAAATTTACGCATCATAAAATTCATTCTTGTAATGTGTACAGTTAGCGTGTTCAGTATATTCACATAGTTGTGCGGCCATGACCACTGATTCCATCATCGCTGTCTAATTCCAAAACATTGCTGTCACCTCAGGAAGAAGCTCAGGCCCTCACTCTCTTGCTCCCACCCTCCTCCCCCACCGTGCTCCCTTTCCCTCTCCCAGCTTTCATCCTCACTCCTGCCCTCTGCTCAGCCAGTCCAGGACCTTCAGCCTTCTGGCACCAGTGGCTGTCCCTGCCCTACGGCGCCCCCGTAGCAGACTCTGAGCCGTCACCTCCTCATCCTGCCCCTTGCCCAGCGTGTCCTCGTCCGACTTCTGCCTTCCAGAAACTCGCAGGTGGCTCAGACCTCTTCCCTCCTGCCGTCACTCTCACGGCCTTATTCCTGTCCTCTTGATTCCTGTGGGCTCTGAGGCAGCAGAGTGGGCCGGTGCGTCTCCCTGGTCTCCCCCGTTGGACTGAAGACTATCCCCGGCGCTTGGCCGACTGCCGTCCCTCTTGGCACTGTCTGGGGGGATTGAAGTTCTCTAGGTTTGGAGTACCCGTCACAGGACAGGATTCCTTCCTTGAAGGGGTGGGGACCATGAGATAAGATGTGACAGTAGATTTGGGAAGCATGTGACCTGGAAGTCAGAGGCCGAGGGACATGGAGTCTGTTTCTCGAAGGAGGTGGCCCTGCTGTGGGCCTTTGTGGCTGGGTGGGATTCAGACTATGGGTGGGTGGGGAGAGGACGGGGCATGGGTGGAGTCTGAGAGCAAATCCCAGGCCACTGCCCATGCCCGCGCCTCCTCTGCTGGGGACAGGCCACCCTTCCTCTGTTCTGCCTCCACTTTCCTTCCCAGGTTCAGATTAAGTTTTCAGGTGTGTGGCCCCATACTGCACTTTATTTATTTATTAGTTTTTTTAATGGAGTCTCACTATGTTACCCAGACTGGAGTGCAGTGGCGCAATCTTCGCTTACTGCAACCTCTGCCTCCCGGGTTCAAGCGATTATCCTGCCTCAGCTTCCCGAGTAGCTAGGATTACAGCCATGCGCCACCATGCCCAGCTAAGTTTTGTGTTTTTATTAGAGACGGGTTTTCATCATGTTGACCAGGCTGGTCTCGAACTGGCCTCAAGTGATCCACTTGCCTCAACCTCCCAAAGTGCTGGGATTACAGGCGTGAGCCACTGCGCCCGACCCCCTGCTGCACTTTAGACCAGCTTGGCAGTGTTTAAGGGATATAAGATGCTTCCGAAAGGAAGTGTTAGGTTCCATTTCAGGCCCTGGGGATGTCACACTCGGTGAGATGGAGCTTATCGTCTAGAGGTGGGGATGGAGGGAGACAGGCAAAGTGAGCACGGAAGTCCTGCGGTGGAGGGGTACAGGACACCGGGGAGCCTGTGGGGGCTCAGAGCAGGGCTCCCAGAGGAAGTGAGCTGGGAATTTGAGAGGCTCAGTGTGGCTGGATCGTGGGATCTGGTGCTGGGCTGCACAGAGCTGAGGCGGAAGGCACCTTGCGGGTTGTATAGGACAGTGGGGAGCCCTCCCTCAGTGGGCACAGTCAGAGGATTGGTCATTGCCAGTGCAGAAGGTGCCTCGGAAGGAGCCTGAGGCTGGACGAGAGAGGCATGGCACCGGGGCAGGGCCGAATTCCAGAGGGGCTTTGGGGTGGACTTGCTAGCACTTGACCTCAGGTGAGCCTCCGGAGAGGATTGCAGTGGACTGGGGTCTAGGGCCAGTGGTGGGCAGCTGAGTCCTGAGTGGCGAGTTGCAGGAGAAGGTGGCAGGGGGACTGGTGTGTGGAGGGGGGTTGGTGTGGGGTGGGCCTCATCATTGGAGGTCCCCTGTCCACCATCCTGGCAGGATGTCAGAGGAGTGGGAAGGAGAGTGGAATGGACACTGGGGCGCAGGCGCCTAGGCCGGCCTCCCTCAGGCTGCAGGTGCTCCCTGTAGAGCCAGAGTGCCCTGCAGGCGGGGCTGCTCCTCACCACAGGGCGAGCATTGGTCTGAGGGCGATGACTCCCCCGGGAGTAAGCACTGAAGGCCAGGGGCATCTCGCTCTGTCGCCCAGGCTGGAGTGCAGTGGTGCGATCTCGGTTCACTGCAGTCTTTGCCTCCCGGATTCAAGCAATTCTCCTGTCTCAGCCTCCTCAGTAACTGGGATTACAGGTGTGCATCACCACATCCGGCTCATTTTTGTGTTTTTAGTAGAGACGAGGTGTCACCATGTCGGTCAGGCTAGTTTGGAACTCCTGACTTCGTGATTCGCCCGCCTCGGCCTCTCAAAGTGTTGAGATTACAGGCGTGAGCCACCCGGCCAGTCAGGGGCATCTTCTTGGCCTCTTTGATCATCCCAGCCTCTGACTCTGTCTGACACAGACAGTGGGGCGTGAATGAGTGAATGGAGCGGATGTCGTCTCTACTGTCGTTTGGGAGTGTGTTTTTGATTCGTGTGCAGACCCTGATGTCAGGCAGTGGTGTTCAGAGCTCCCAGCAGGGCAGCCAGGGCTACCGTTGGTCTCTGGGGAGGCTGTGCCCACCTCGGTCCAGTTGAGCAAGCCTTGCACAGACGTGGCATGTAGGCAGGGGCCCTGCTCAAGGCTGTCCAGTCAGCCCTGTCTTCGAGGTTCCCAGGTCATCACTCCAAACCTACCCTCCTGATAGATGTTGTTTGCCGGATTCAAGCAATTCTCCTGCCTCCGCCTGGGTGATAAACTACAGATGATCGCCCACTTTGGCCTCCCAAAGTTCTGGGATTACAGACGTGAGCCACCATGCCCAGCCAGTTTTCTAGCAATTTCTCACGCACTTAAGAATTACCTTACTAGTGCAAATATGTGTGTATGAAGATTTTTAGCAATGAGCATTATGCTAAGTGAAAGAAGCCAGACTGACTGGGCGCAGTTACTGAGGAGGCTGAGGCAGGAGAATCGCTTGAACCCGGGAGACGAAGGTTGCAGTGAGCCGAGATCGTACCATCGTACTCCAGCCAGGGGGAGAGCGAGACTCCGTCTCAGAAAAACAAACAAGCAAACAAAGAAAGGCAGACCCAGAAGACAGAGACTGCATGATCTCACACACATCCAGCAGTTAAAACAGTCACACTCAGAGAAGCCGAGAGTAGGAGGGTGGCTGCCAGGGGCTGGGGGACGGGGAGGTGACAGTCAGAAGGTACCGTTGTTCGGTTTTGCAAGGTAAGTTCTGGATCTGCTGTATTGCAGAGTCCCGATAGCTGACAATACTGTAGCATACACTGAAATTGCTAAGAGAGCAACTCAGTGGTCTTCAAAGACAAAAACAGTGAGAGAGAGCAGAAGGAAACTTTGGGAGGTGATGGATATGTTCACGGCCTTGGTGGTGGTGATGGTTTCACAGATGTACACACGTCCCCAAACTCATCTAGAGGTGGGCATTCAATACATGCAGCTTCTTAACCTGTCAACCAGACCTCAGTAAAGTGGGGAAAAAACCGACACACAGTGGCCAGGATTTTTTCCTGTCTCCCAGTCGTAGTTGCACCTAGAGGGAGAAGCGAGGGACGCGGGATTTGATCTCTACGGCTCTAGATTTTTTCTTAAAGTGAGAAGACACTGCTTCCATGGTGCTTTCCCAGTAATAACATACGGGTCAAAACATTGATGGTTTATTCTGGGGGATGAGATTATAGGAGATTATTTTACATATATTTTGCTGTTTATTTCAAGTTTTTTTTTTTTTTTTTGAGACATGGTCTTGCTCTGTCACCCAAGCGGGAGTGCAGTGGCACGATCATACCTCCTGGATCAAGCAATCCTCCTGCCTCAGCCCCCCGAGTAGCCCCTGAGACCACAGGCACACGCCGCCACGCCTGGCTAATTTCTTACAGAGACAGGGTCTCACTGTGTTGCCCAGGATGGCCTCAAACCCCTGGGTTCAAGTGATTCTCCTGCCTCAGCTTCCTAGAGTGCTGGGATTACAAGCATGAGGCACTAAGCGTAGTTTTTGTTTGCTTGTTTGTTTTGGAAACGTAGTCTCACTCTGTCACCCAGGCTGGAGTGTAGTGGTGCGATCTTGGCTCACTGCAACCTCTGCCTCCTGGGTTCAAGTGATTCTCCTGACTCAGTCTCCCATGTAGCTGGGATTACAGGTGCCTGCCACCATGCCTGGCTAATGTTTGTATTTTTAGTAGAGATGGGATTTCACCACGTTGACCAGGCTGGTGTCGAACTCCTGACCTCAAGTGACCTGCCCGCCTCAGCCTCCCAAAGTGCTGGGATTACAGGTGTGAGCCACTATGTCCAGCCTTTTTTTTTTTTTTTTTTTAATCTTTTTTAATCTCTGGGTTCAGTGGGGTTTTGTTCATGCCGCTTTGGAATGCTTTTATTAGGTGCTAAACTGGAACCCAGGAGGAGGGTCCCAGCCGCCTGGGGCTCCCCCATCTCCCAGCGTGTGCATCCGTGGCGCAGCAGGTGCCCAGCCCCCGTGCTGGAGGTGGTGACAGTAGAGTGTGTGGCCCTGCCTGCTGGGTTTCATGTCTCACCCAGGCCACACTTACCGACATTGACCTGAGTTGGGTCAACTTGTGCAGCCTTCTCTGGCCTCAGCCTCCTCGTCCTCTGCAGGCGCAAGGGCCCCAATGGCAGGCTAATGTTTCCTCTCACTTCTGCTGACCACACCGGTGGCTGAGTCTCCTTTCTCCTCCTCTTCCCTGCTGTTGTATACCTAAGATCCCTTTGCCGTGGAAGTCAACCCTGTCACGGGGGCTCAACCTACTGAAAAGCCACCCCCTGCGAGGCCAGCCAAGCCCCTGGGAGGAGGTGGTGGGGTTGAGGGGTGCAGTACTGCTGCTGGCGACCGGGCCTGAAACAGGCAGGAAGCTGATGCGTGTGTTTCTTCCTTTTCTTTTTAGTGTGCAAGGAGCCCCCTTACAAAGTAGAGGAGTCGGGGTACGCTGGCTTCATCATGCCCATCGAGGTGCACTTCAAAAACAAGGTAGGATCCCTGAGGGGAGCAGGCAGGTCGCCTCTCTGTGGGAGCCCCTGCTCCAGGTGCCACGGCAGTTCACAAAACAGGCCGGAGACCTGGCCGCTGCCCATGCACAGGCGTTCCAGTGAGGGCTGCGGGGAGTGCTGGTCGCCATCTCCATTCCTGGGGACATCAGGGGCCAGGACACAGGTGGGTTCGTGACAGCAGGTGGGCGTGCCCCTTGGTCCGCTTCTCTCGGGGAGCTGCTGGGCCACCTCCTGTCCAGTTGCCTGGAAAATGTGCCGACAGTGACATCCCCTGTCAGGACCAGCTTCCTCGATGGTCCTAGAGGGTTAATATCCAGGCCATGTGTAGTGACTGAGATCGAGAAATAGCTTAAATATCTGATTACAGTTCGATTATGGTGCGTCTTCTGGGCAGAATCTTTGATGAGCTTCAGAATTAACGAAGCAAACTACATATATAAAACTTAAAGGAAAAAGGAGTTATCTCTATCCAGAATGTCAGCGCGGGTCATCCGCGTCATCTGGAGTTACCTCCATCCGGAATGTTAGCGCCGGTCGTCTGCGTCATCTGGGTGGTGGGACTGCGGGGGTTTTGTTTCCATTTTCTTTCATCTGTAGTTTTTCACCTTTTTTTTTTTTTTCTTGGCCTAATAGTTAAAACAACTCAGAGCCTGCCCCTGGTCCTCCTCCCAGGCGTCACCACAGGGCCAGCGGTGACATTTCCTGGCTCGTGGCTTGTCCACCGCCGGCTGCTTTCCCACAAGTGCAGCTGGACTGGCATGGAGGCAGCGCTGGGGAAGGAGGTGTCCCTGGGAGGCCTGTGGACGCCGGCCCGCTTGGTTACTGAGTCCCTGGTTTGTACCTGGCCGTGCCGGGCCGCATGGCTGCCGTTCCTCTTTTCCACAAACCCCCTGGCACTAAGGGCCTTGAGGAGAGGCATTTGGCATGCGGCCCTCCTAGGAGCCGGGTGACATTTCAGCCGGTGCACCTTGGCCAATTTCAGATGCAAGGCCTCGCCCGGGGTCCAGTTCACAGAAACCTAGGTCATTCTGAGGCTTTGTTGGAGTTGAGGCCCCACTGGGAGAAAAGCCGAACCTGCCTGCAAGTGGGCCTTCTGGGGGGTGAGTGGTCCCGGCCCTTGGGCCTGTGGGGCCACCCCCCTGCCAGGTGTATCCCTGGGCTCCCAGTCTCCCCAGCTCCATCCGGTAAGCGTGCGGAAGGGGAATGAGAACAGCAGCCCCCTCTTGGGGCGGTTGAGGGGATTGCTCGAGCCTGTCCGTGGAAGGTGCTCCGCAGCCCAGGCACTGGTGTTCTAGCGGGTGGCTTGTGGGGCCACCGTCTGTGTGGGCAGTTTAAGCTCGCCTCTGGGGTGACTTAGATTAAAGTCCTCTGAGGTTCAGAAGCAGTTTGGGCCAGCAAGGCTTTTTTTTGTTTGTTTTTAGAGACAAGGTCTTGCTCTGTTGCCCAGACTGGAGTGCAGTGGTACAATCATAGCTCACTCCATCCTCAGCCTCCCAGGCTCAAGTGATCCTCCCACCTCAGCCTCCCAGCCTCCTAAGTAGCTGGGACTACGGGCACGTGCCACTGTGCCCAAGCTCAGGGAGGTTTTCTGTGTTCCCAGATACCTGTCTGGTCCCTGACACAGCCTTCAGCCACCTGAGGACTGGTGGCATCCATTCCACTTCCCAGCGCCCTCAGGCAAGGGGCTCCGACTGCTGCCTGGCTCTGCCATGGGCTGCCCATGGATTTGGTGGCAGGTGGGGCAGGGGCTGGCCAGTGCTGTTTGCTGCTTGTCATCCTTGCTCAGTAGGGACACCTTCAGGCGAGATGCAGGCTGGCCGCTCCCAAATGTGGCAGAAACCCACAGTGTGTGGTGCCGCCATGCGCAACGCAGCAGGGGCCCTAAGTGGCTGCTGCTCAGGTGGCCCCACCTGATGTGTCCTGCAGCTCTCAACTGAGGCTGAAATGCAGACTCCAGGGCTGTTTCCGTCCTGAGTTCCTGAGGCTCCACCCTTGCATCCTGCCCCTGTAGAGAAAGGAAGCGGGGGACCCTTTGGCCATAGGATTGTTACTGCTGGGCCCAGCATCCTCTCCTGTGTGGGGGTGTCAAGAGGACAGAGAGCCCTCTCTGAATCCTGCCTGCTCTTTCGGGATCCTGGGGGCTTCATTTAGGGTGTGGGGGCGTGTGGTTGCATGGGGGGCATGGGACCCCATGTTCCTCTATAGCACTTGTTGCCTGGTTCCTCTGAAAGGCCCCAAGTGCGGTGCCGGCTCCCTCAGTGCCCTTCAGCAGGAGCGTGTGTACTTCCGGCAACCTGCGGTGACATTGTTGGGTTAAATTGTTTTCTTTTTCTTTTTTTTTCTTTTTTTTTTTTTTTTGAGACGGAGTCTCGCTCTGTCGCCCAGGCTGGAGTGCAGTGGAGCGATCTCGGCTCACTGTAACCTCCGCCTCCCGGGTTCACGCCATTCTCTTGCCTCAGCCTCCTGAGTAGCTGGGACCACAGGTGCCCACCACCATGCCCAGCTAATGTTTTGTGTTTTTAGTAGAGACTGGGTTTCACTGTGTTGGCCAGGATGGTCTTGATCTCTTGACCTCGTGATCTGCCCACCTCGGCCTCCCGAAGTGCTGGGATTACAGGCCTGAGCCACCGCGCCCGGCCAATACGTTTTCTTTAAGTCTGGTTTATCGAGGTATAATTTACATATAGTAAAATTCTCCCATTTTAGATGTAGCAGGTTTTTCAAATCTCAGCATGTGCTTTCATTGAGCCCTTTTGGAGGATGGCCAGTTTTTCGGTTTTTTCTTTTCTTTCTTTTTTTTTTTTTAAGTCGTATTTCTTGGTGTTTATTTGTCTGAATAATTCCTGCAGAAGCCGTGTGGCTGGGCCGTTCTGCCATGAGCCTGTGCTGAGAACTGCAGCGCTCCCCCTCTCTCAGGACAGAAGCCAGCTGCTTCAGTGTGCTATGTGCCCCATTGCCTGGGAACTTCCTCTTCCTGGGGTGGTTGTAGAGGGTCCTGCACCGGGAGTACTGGTGGCCCCACTGCAAGGTCCAGGGATGCAGGTCCTCCTCACAGTGGCAGGGGTGTGTGTGCCATCCACAGGTGGAGGAGATCCTGGATCCCGAGTCACTTGGTCAAGCCCCAGAAGTTGGCAGAGCTAGGACTGGAACCAGCTCTTTGTAAGCACACACCCATTGCCTGAGACAGGCATGACCTAGAAGCATGATAGTGCTTGATGAGTTTCGGTGCCGGGGATGGGAGTGCTTCATGGCTGCAGGATTCGGAACACGATTAGGGACAGGGTCATAGTGCATGGGTTTGCTAGCGGTTTTTCTACCTGGTGTAGCCAGGGCTTGTGTTTGGTGGTTAGCCATGGCTTACTCCTCAGTGGGAGGTCGGGAAAGTGGAATAAGGAGTAAACAGAGGTTGGTGACGGAGTGGGTTTGGGGAGGTGCTGGTGTGTCTGGACAGGGTAGGGAGAGAGCTGCAGAGACCACAGTTTGGAGGTGGACACGCCAGGGTTCAGTCTCATAGCCTGACTGTGTCACCATGGGTGGGTCACTCCCCTGGGCCTCAGTTTGTCTGTCCATAAGATGGAGTTTCTGGCTGCGACTGCTTCTCAGGAGTCAGGAAGATTAAGAGGGAGACAGCAGGTGCAGCACTTGCCCCGGGGCCCGGCACAGCGGGCATTTCATCCATTTGTTGTTGAAATGGTATCGGCTCCTTCCAGTCAATCTGGGCAAGAAAGTTCAGTGGAGAAAGGGAGCCTCAGAGCTCGGAGGGCCCAAAGGAGGTTGAGGGTTCCTGCAATGAAAAAGATGTTGTTTGGCTTCTCCCGTGAGTGTGGCTCTAAGACCAGAGCAGAAAATGTGCTTTCTCAGACAGCTCTATTCTTGTATAAGTGTGTGGCTTTCTCAGTGAGTGCACTTGACCTTGAATATGGCATCGCCTGTAAAATGAAGGAATTGTGCTTTATGCAGTGTTAGGCACTAGAACTTAACTGAGGCTGCATTTTGTTTGACCTGTTGGTAGGATGTTCTTTTTTTTTAAGACGTAGTCTTGCTCTGTCTCCCAGACTGGAGTGCAGTGGTGTGATTTCGGCTCACTGCAAGCTCCGCTTCCTGGGTTCACGCCATTCTCCTGCTTCAGGCTCCCAAGTAGCTGGGACTTAGGGCGCCCACCACCACACCCGGCTAATTTTTTTTTGTATTTTTTAGTGCAGATGGGGTTTCACCGTGTTAGCCAGGATGGTCTCGATCTCCTGACCTCGTGATCTGCCCACCTTGGCCTCCCAAAGTGCTGGGATTACAGGCGTGAGCCACCGCGCCCGGCCGGTGACATGTTCTTTTACAGAAAAATCACTCCTTTCTCTCAAGGAAAAAGAATTTGGAGGGCCTCATCTGATTGCAAAGTAATACATGTGTGTTGTGAAGTTTTTCCCAAGCAAGAGGACGGTGTTGTCTTGCTTGACATCCGCTGGGAACATGCGTGTTGGGCAACTCAACCTTTTTGCTGTTCTGGGCGTGTCCGCAAAAGACAGTAAAAGCCGACAGTATCGGTTTGGGGTTTGCAAATGAACTTCAGTGAGGAGGTAAATTCAAAAGTATGGAATCTATGCAGAATGAGAGACAGCTGTACCATTCTGTGTTTATCCATTCATCTGTGGATAGATGTTTGGGCTGTTTCTACCCATTTGCTATGCGGAATAGTGCTGCTGTGAACGTGTGTGTGTGTGTGTGTGTGTGTGTGTGTGTGTATACGTACTTGTTTGAGTGCCCGTTTTCAGTCCCTCTGGGCGTATACACCTAGGAATGGAATTGCCAGCTCATACAACAATTTTCTGTTTAGCTTTCTGAGGAACTGCTAAGCCGTATTCCAGTGGCTGGACCCTGTCATAGTTCCACCAGCAATGTGTGAGGGTTCCTGTTTCTCCAGATCCTCAGCAATGCTTGTTTTCTGTTTCTTAAAAATTATAGCCATCCTTGTGGGTGTGGAACTGT